CAAAGATATGAAAGCAGCCTGTGCTTTTCCAATGCGGGACTTTATTTTAGCACCTGTTCCTCCTTCTCTGTCAATTATACTTCCAAGATAGAAGAAGGATTCAACGTTTTCTAGTGCCTTTCCATCTATTGTGACCTGCTCCTTTCGTTGTGCATCTGTCCTTAGGACCTTTGACTTTCCTGGGTGGATCCTCAATCCAACAGACTCCAATATGCTGTTTAATACTGAAGTCTTTGCTTGCATCTGTTATCTGTTCCTGGGTGTGCGACAGAAGCGCCAAGTCGTCTGCAAAATCCAGATCGTCCAACTGTGTCCATTGTATACCATTTCTGTGTCCTCTGGTGGTTTCCTTCATCAGCCAGTCGACTGCCAATATGAAGAGGAACGGTGATAGTAACCATCCCTGTCTCACACCAGTCTTGATGTCAAAGCTGTCAGTGAGCTGGCCATCATGTACAACCCTGTAACTTGTCCCTTCGTACATGCTCTTGATGAGGTTCACCAACTTCTATGGGGCCCCCCACATACACACAAGCCCGTGCACATACACACACAACCCAAGCAGTCGGTGATGAAACCTAGATCTAATGTCGTAGCCCATCCCGCGCTAAGCCACGGTGAGATATAGATCTAGTCAACAGGCGAGGAAAGCCCCGGAAGACGACAAAAATAGAAGGCAGAAATAGGCCTACATCATCTGGGCCAATCACAGAGGTACACGTGCTAGGCGCTCGCTGCAGCTTCATGTGTTCTCAATACTGAATGAATGAATACTGTCATTACATTTCAATATCAAGCAAGCTGGGAAGTTAAAATAAACAAACCGAAGCGACTATTTCTCCGAACACTCGCGAGAATAAAATTGATCTCTATTTCTCTTAACGGTTTCCGCCCTCGAGATTTGTTGGTTATTGGCATAGATGTACACTAAAAGAGGTAACTCTATGGTTATTGGTGAGAGTTCGGCATCATCTTTTATTCTGCCATGACTGGGAAGAAGCGCTTTTGCCGTGAATTCAATTTCTAGAGCTAGATTTTGGATCATGTCTGAATATATTCAGATATATATCTATATAGATCTCTAGATACTATACTCTATACACTTCAATTGTGATTGGGGCAACCTTACACACCCACACACACACTCACGCACGCGCAGGCCACTCCATTCATAAATTAAAAAAATCTTGAGGACAGAAACCGTTAAAGGAGAAATAGAGTCCAAGTTTATTTTCCTGAGCGTTCAGAGAAATATATCTAGATCTATATCTAGATCTAGATCTAGATCTAGCAGGCCAAACCCCCGTCCCCCCCACAACCAAAGAAAGAAGAAGAGTGAAGAGTCTAACAGAAGAGTCAAGAGATCTAAATCTAGATTTGAAAGTGGCTATTCTCATCCGCCCGGAAGTTCTCGCAAGATCAACTCCTCCCCTCTTCTCTGTCTCTTTCTGAATACTGTCTATCGGTGTGGACGATCAAATTGACCAAAACAAAGTTAAAAAATGATGTTAAAACACAAAAGTAAAATAATTTGGTTGTCTACAAAGATGCTACGGCTATTTAACTTTTCGAATCGAGCCGAACTCCTCTCTCTCTTCACTGCCCACAGACAAAATTGTACGCTTTTAGTAGGCTACAGTTGTAATGGAACGTTTGTTCACGGCACAGAATTCTACAATTTTTCTGTTATCACAGTGTAGAATTCTGTGGTTTAGGGTGAACGCAAAATTTGGTGAACGCGCACCGGGTGAGAATAGCCACAAGACTCGCCTGCACTATTCTCACTCCAGGTGAGAATAGAGGTGGCCTCTAGATTTAGATCTAGATCTATATCTAGATATATCTATATAATCTAGAATCTAGATTCCATTTTATATGGAAGAGGCTAGCCGTACTTAATGACGGCTAGACTCGCAGTCTAGCCGTACTTATTCTTAATATGATGGCTAGACAGACTGACCATTTACAAAAAATAGGCCTACTGAATTGTAAATACATGTAGATCTATACATTTTTAGTGTTCAGTACCTAAAGTATTTGTGTATTTGAGACGAAACCAGGTGCCTTAATTTAAGGCATTGCCTTAATGACAGTGCATGTCCTCCTGTTTTCTAATGTTAATAGGGCCTAAGATAAGTATGGCTAGACTGGCAGTCTAGTCTAGCCGTACTTAAGTACGGGTAGACAGCCAGGCCAGGCTAGCCGTACACTTAATATTGATCTGATGGCTGAATTGTAAATGAAATTTTTAGTTTGCAATGCCTAAAGTATTTGTATTTCAGACAAAACCAAAAGGTGCCTTACTGACTTGCATGTATTTGAACCTGAATAATTACTAGATATCTAGATCTAGATATAGATCTAGATCTAGATTCTAGATCTAATCTAATGAGACCTGTGTACTTAACAGGCTTGAGTCGATAGGGCCATAGCCTAGCAGTCTAGCCGTACTTAAGTAGTACGGCTAGCCACTTCGTATTTATATCTAGATATCTAGATCTATATTTCTATATCTAGATCTATATATCTAATCTAGATCTATATCTAGATCTAGATTTAGATCTAGATCTAGATCTAGATCTAGATCTAGCACCTAAACTAACCTAACCTACCCTCTCTCATTTTTTGGTCCAGCTCATCCAACGTTGGTTCGATAAGTTCCCAGCCATCAGGGGGTGGCTTTCTACTCCTTTTCACTTTTGGCATGACTCTAAATATACCTTCGCTTAGCTGGGACTGGGAAAAATTAGAATTCTTCTTGACGTTGTCTTGTCGTTGGCTTGCGACTGTTCTCGGGCACGTCCGTCAAGTGGAAAACACAATACACGAGAATCTATCTTGGCAAGATCAGAATGAAACGATGAAACTGAAGTATCGCACAGTTTGTGTGCACAACGGCAAGCGATACTACCAATGAGAATAAAGTCATTTCGATATCAAATGCCAGAACAAACACACGGACTTATGCTGTTCATTTTTTTTTTCTACTATAGGAGTCTAGATCTATATGTTCATTTCCTTAAACTATCTGAAATTTTTACGAATTGTGTACTATTTTTATTTTTGAGAAAAGAGAAATAGATTGAACATTATTTTTGTTCGCAAACGCTTTTGTTTGGAAGCGTTTGTATCAGCATCAATTTGGGGATAACTGAACAACAACGTTCATTGTGCATGTGTGTCAGACAAAGCTCCTTAAGGTAGTGTAGGATCTTTGTGTTATTACAACACACATCATATTTTATTATTCTTAACATTACTGTTGTTACATCTAAATATCAAGCTTATAATCGTTTTGTTGTCTAATTCAGGGGAATCCTTGCTGAAATTCAATGTCAATTTTTCTATTCAACGTGGGAATAGTACTCCAGACGTAACTACTCTACAGTATCGATATCGTGTTTCTTCCAGATTGACACAACAAAGATGTCGGCCTGTGCGAATGGAGAAGCTACGGCTGATGACGCCGAAAATGCTACCAAATCATCCAGCACGCCTGTGTCAGCTTCCGAGATGAACAAGACAAACAATTTTCAAAGAATTGCTCAAAAGAAATTGCTTGTGCGTGGGTATTCAAGAAGCAAAAAATTGGAAAAACTCGCTGTATACTCGAGCTGCAAGGTAAGTAAACAATCTTTACTTGAGATAGCGTGGTGTATTATTAGCCCATTTTTGTTTGTAAACAATGCTGAATGCCATGCCATGTGGTCTCTTTAGACTTTAGCGTTTGGGTTCGAGTTCATCATGGGGTCTCTAAATTAACGATAGTTTCAAAATGATAATGTATTACACTTGATGGAGAGTTTTTTTTCATGAGGCCCCATGTTTCCCACTTTCTTTGCTGTAGAAAAAGGTAAAATTGGAGATTAGCAGATGGCCGTCGTTATTCGGACTCGGGTCCGGAAAAAAGGAAGTGTCTTTGTTCTATAGATCTAACGTTCAGTGCTTCCAATTTTCCGCCATTTTTTAGTTTCCCCCACACCTTATCTGCTGATCCAATGCCCGCCGCCTCATTGATACGCCCCCCCCCCATGTTTCCTACTTTCTTTGTTGTAGAAAAAGGTAAAATTGAAGATTAGCAGACCACCTGGCACCTGCATATTATGAGCTGTGTAAAAAAAAAAATAGGCCGATTCGTTCAAATACACAAGCCTGTGTCATTCGATTGTTTACCAAGAAAAAAGTTGTGTTGCTGAGTAGAGCTGAGCATACGGCAACTCTTGATTCCATAGACCAGCGCACAATTCATTACGTAGATCTACGTCAAGACTATTTTATTATTGTAATAATGATCAGTTGCCGGGGGGAAAAAGACTGACGCGTATGCGACGTTCAAAGCCCGGACCGATAGTGCCCACCACCCTCCCCGACACGCACACAGCCACACGTGTGCAGGCCGCCCATCCGACCCCGACACACGCTAACGAGCCATCTTTAATTGCTTCTGATGACCTCTTGACAAATAAACATTTATTAGAAGAGCTATAACTTTTCAGGCCGGCCTCAAATTCATCATAAGATAAAAACTCGGCTCCGGCACAAAACGCCTTTTTGCCCGAAGTGTTCCCGGTCTCTACCCAGCCTGAGGCGAGTCACGAGTGAGGCAGGACAGGAAGCCGGAGTCACGAGTCACAGGAAGTCGGAAGTGATGTCATGCTGGACAAGAATCAGAGTCCGGATAACATTTTTTCATATTCGGACTCGAGTCCGAATAATCACTTGTTAGCAGATCTCCTGGCACCTGCATATTATGAGCTGGGTGAAAAAAAAAAGACCGATTCGTTCAAATACACAAGCCTCAAATTCATCATAAGATAAAAACTCGGCTCCGGCACAATTAACGCCATTTTGCCCGAAGTGATCCCGGTCTCTACTCAGCCTGAGGCGAGTCACGAGTGAGGCAGGACAGGAAGCCGGAGTCACGAGTCACAGGAAATCGGAAGTGATGTCATGCTGGACAAGAATCAGAGTCCGAATAACATGTTTTCATATTCGGACTCGAGTCCGAATAGTCACTTCCTTTTCCTGATGGTCTTTGGCCTTTGGTAAATTTTTACTTTTTTTACACCCACACACAGATACACTGATATGAAGGCTAAACTAAAACTGCCATAATTTTTGCTGCAGAACACACGTGTTGCCACTAAAACCCTTGCAAATCAATTGTTTTCATGTAAATATCAATCCTAATTACCAAAAGGCCACCTCTCTTCTCACCCGGGGTGAGAATAGTGCAGGCGAGTCTTTTGGCTATTCTCACCCGGTGCGCGTTCACCGTTATAGCCTAGATCTAGGCCAACAAATTTTGCGTTCACCCTAAACCACAGAATTCTACACTGTGATATCAGAAAAATTGTAGAATTCTGTGCCGTGAACAAACGTTCCATTACAACTGTAGCCTACTAAAAGCGTACAATTTTGTCTGTGGGCAGTAGAGAGAGAGGAGTAGCGCGAGAACTTCCGGTCAAAACAAAATGGCGACCCGCGTAGTTCGGCTCGATTCGAAAAGTTAAATAGCTGTAGCATCTTTGTAGACAACCAAATTAATTTACTTTTGTGTTTTAACATCATTTTTTAACTTTGTTTTGGTCAATTTGATCGTCCACACCGATAGACAGTATTCAGAAAGAGACAGAGAGAGAGAGAGGGGAGGAGTAGATCTTGCGAGAACTTCCGGGCAAAACAAAATGGCGACCCGCGTAGTTCGGCTCGATTCGAACAGTGAAATAGCCATAGCATCTTTGAAGACGATCAAATTAGCTTACTTTTGTGCTATAACGTAATTTTTTCTTGGCTTTTATCAATTTGATCATCCACATTGATAGTAAATATTCCGAAATTAGGAAAAACAGGTCTTGTTTCAAACCGGGTGAGAATAGCCTACGGTCGCAAGTCTCACCCCGGATGAGAATAGCCACTTCCTTACCAAAACCTCAAATTATTTCAAATCATTGTGAAATTCAAAGGGGGGCATGCCCCCCTGAAACCCCCCAGTTTCTTTTTAGGTCAGGGGGGCATGCATGAGCAGGAAGAATTAGAGCAGGAGGAGAACAAGAAGAATCAAGTATTAATATATCATGTTACAAATTGGGGACTTTTTTGTTTGTTACCCTACCTTGGGAAAGAGGGAGAGAGGGGGGGGGGCAGTGAGAGTGACATGGAGGGTGTCGTGTTGTCGAAAGCGCCAAGAGTACCCTACCGTAGGCCTAATGTTTTCATGGGTCACAGGTTCGTCAGCCAATCATAGCCCGGTTTATGTCCTGCGTGTAGGCGCATGTCAAAGTCACGAAGTATACACTCCCGGTAGGGGAACTCTTTTGTGATTTCGGAAAGTTTCAGCATCCAAACCCTGTATAGAGTGTTTGTGTGTACATGAGAGAGAGAGAGAACAGGGGGAAGCAATGATTATAAATACCATGATAAAGCAATGGGGCGAAAAGCGTGCGAGCTCACGAAACTCCCGGGGGGAATGTCTGCGCGTCAGCCGACGGTCAACCGCTGACCTGCTCCCTTATCAGCGCGCACCTGGTGCGGGAAGTGCGGCTCGTTGTTCCATTGTTAGAGGCCATTAAAAGCTTGAAATATGTTGGTTTGAAGGTGAAGGCTTGCGTGTGACCAAGGCCCATACAACCAGATGGTTTTAGAACACTAATCTTAGTCTCAGCCCCGAAAAGCCTTTTTTTTCATCACGAGGGTGATAAAATCACAATCCTCTTTGATCCTCCACACTTAATTAAGAATTAGAAACAATTTGTTGATCTACCACAATTTATGTAGGCCTACTCATCATGATGATACTGCGAGCTGGGCAGTTATTGAAAATTTCTCCGAAAAAGACAGTGCCCTAGGTTTAATCAGGGTGGCACCCAAGTTAACCAACTGTGTGTCAAGTTTTGGACGACAAAGCGTTTGTTTGGCTGTGCAAAAAAAGCAAAAGCAAATAAATTGGGACACTACATAAATATGTATCTCTGAATTAATCCTTTGTCTGACATCGCTATATCTGATTTCTGTAAAGACTGATGATCCTTTCAACGTTTTCATGTGGTCACTTGTGTCATTCTCTGTCGAATATCGTAACCCAGTAACCCAGCAGACACTTCTGTGGTTGAAAGATAATTCATGAAGTTTGGTCCAGAAGACAAAACGAAAGTTACAAAAGCATTACTATGAGTCAGTGAGTGGATCCACAACATCACTGCTTTGCAAGGACCTGTGGCAGACATTGTGAGCTGCAATGGAGGATTACTTACAGTGATATCAAGATGAACTTGAACATCTGTTCTCAGTCACCATGAGAGGAAAAGGTGGACATATCTTGATAATCCAGACCCCCCCCCCCCACACACACACACAACAGTTACATTTTCGTTTGAAGAGACAGACAATGGCCGACAAAATTATGATCGCATCGCCTTCAAGCAGTTGCAGGGATGTAGTGGATAGCTTTTTGATAAATCAAAATCGAACGAGTAAGAAATTCAGTCAAACAATAGTTGCAATTCCGGTAGACCTTGATAAAAAACACAGATACCTTGTTAATTTTGTTAAATTTTGCAATACATTAAAGATGCAAAGCACTTAAAAATTATATTTCTGACGTAAGTGGAAACACTTTGAAGACGATGTAGTCTGCAAGACTGTACAGGGATATTCACGATTCCTCATCTTTCCATGCAAAGCACCTTACCCTCATCAGCCCGAAACAATTTGAACATTGTCGTCACGGTGGCTTGAAAAAGCCAGTTTTAAACTTGTGGAATTTGTTGGTTTGTTTGCAGCTGTTTTTTTTTGTTAAACGCATTTTAAACCTTTGGTGTAAAGAGTAACAGTCGCACAGAAGACAGAATCTAAAGCTAAAAATGCCCCAGGAGGAAAACGTTATTGAAAACAAAGGTGATTCCTGCAATTGCAACACAGTGGACTATAAGTCAGTGTATTTATTAACGTCAGACTGCACTATGATCTTTACTGTGCTGTCAAAAATTGGTGGCGCAACTTGTCCTCAAACATCTCTTTAACGGATGAATCAATTTAACCTAAACTTTGCACAGCAGTTTGTATCAATTTATCTTAACGTATTCATATGTTTCCACAACGACTGAGGCTATATTTAAAAACGTATCTTCGTGAATTTATATCGAATACTAAAATGGGGCGGACTGGTCACCCCACAGCTCGTGTTATAGTAACACTGCGTGTGTTGTGTGAGCTCATTAATGCGCAGAGCGACGTGCGCAGTCGCTGACCTTGATTCTCCGACGATGCACTAAGGCCGAAGAAGGATTGCACCGTCTCGGTATTTACGGTCTCTGGGGGGAAGTGCTAGCAAATATCACATGCCCCAGTTGACAGGAAGGGAAAGAGAGATCTAGGCCATTGATCTAGAAGAACCTTTAAGTCGACTCTGACTGAGCCAAGAGGGCGCTGAAAATTTCTGAAATCACAATACCGGGTCTGTATACTTCACGATTTTGTTCCCGGTTACCGGGTCTGTATACACTGCCATTTAAAAAAGTATTTTTTCTTTTCAGTTTCAGTCTTGACTAGGATACTAGATTCTAGAATTTAAATTCACTATTAAAATTATGATAATAATGAGAATGATTAAAATTTATTTAGTGTTCTGTGTTTTCTAAGTTAGAGGGCTTACTTAACCGAATTAGGTAGGCTACATCGGGGATTTAAAAAAATTGCAGTGGCGCTGGGAACGTTTGCAGGCTATGATGTTCACGGCGCCCTGTATGTAGGCCTAGTCTGTGTATTATGAAAGTTTTTCTCTGGGGTTGCGCTGCAGTCAATTTTCTGTGGATTGTTGTTTTACCTTTTCAGCACTAACATTATCATCCATTTCTTTTATTTTTATTGTGAATTACCCCACTTTGCCGCTTGTCCAATGGTGTATAAAGATGAAAATCTAGGACTAAAAGATTGACTTGGTGATGGGGTCAGTAAGTCCGAATTCGGGAATCTCAACAACTGCGATTGAAAATACAAGCCGCGCGAGCTGTTCTCCGTCTGCTTCAATATAAGTTTGTTCAAATCGGTCATCAGTTTTCACGCCGAGTTCTATTTCTTTCGCTGGATGTTTTTTTGGTATTCTTTCACTTTCCCTCCCGTCTCACAATTATCTACCAATTGTACACTTTCTTTTAAATATTGATGCACTGAACACGAATATCAACTTTACTTCATTTCCGTCGCAAATTAATAGTTTTTGAAAATTTGATTGTTCTTAATCGAGCTATATCACATTATGCCAAAACGCGTAGTAATTTTTGCGCTTGGAACCAATCGGGGGGCTTTAGGGGGTAAAAAAAAATCTGGGAGGTTGCCCCCCTGTTTTAACCCCTAATTTGATATTTTACAGTTATGTTTGACATTTTCTAGAAAATTGATTTGCGACAGTTTTGGTGGGTTATGTGTGATCTGCAGCAAACAATACTGCAGTTTGACCCACGAAGCAGTGCATCTGTGTGTGGGAGTGAAAGTAAAAATTTACCCTTTTTTTTTCACCTGAAATCTGACATCAAAAATTTGGTTGAGATTCCTTACTTTGCACTTCGTGGCCCATTGCCATGTCAGTCTATGAGACCTGGATATAGACTTAGATTTTCATCTTATCGCCTTGGGACAAGTGGCGAAGCTGGGTAATTTACAATAAAAATAAAAGAAGTGGATGATAGTGTGAGCGCTGAAAAGGTAAAACAATTCACAATAAGATAAAAATTGACTGCAGTGCGGCCCCAAAGAAAAACTTTAATAATACGCAAACTTCTTTCAACTCACTGTGAACATAGCCTGCAAACTACAATCAGCGCCATGAACGTATTCACTGCATTTTAAAATCGAAGCCCAAGTCACAAGCTAAAGCAGATAGCCTAAATCTTGGAGGCACCTCTCTCGAGTCCAGCATGACTAAACTTTAAGTGCAGTATTTGAGTCTCTTTTGTCTAGAGTAAGTCCTAGATTTGTACTCTTTTACTTCCCCTTCCGTCTCACACTTACCTTCTAGTTGTCCAATTTCCACTATACGCTGAACACAAATAGCGACCTCATTTCCGTCGCAAATTAATAGTTTTAAAAATATTTGATAGTTTTTAATTGAAGTATATCACGCTAATTGTTTAGATTTCCGCATCTTGAACCAATTGGGAGGTTTCGGGGGGAGGGGGGGGGGGGGGCTGCATCCCCTGAATAAAAAAAAATCTGGGGATAACCTCCCATAATTTAATGTTTTGAAGTCAAGATTGAATTTTTCTTGAAAATTGTGGATTTGCGACAGTTTTAGTGGCTGTGTGATCTGCAGCAAAAATACTGCAGTCTGACCCCTAAAGCAGTGCATATCTGTGTGCGGGAGTGAAAGTAAATGATTTGACTGCAGTATTGACCACTGATTTCAATCATCAAAGTTAGTCCTGACCTTAAAGAGCCTTGTCTTGTCTTTTCTTGGACGCAGAGTAAACCTGGAAATTTCTGTCTCATGGGTTGAAATTTTTCATTCTTAAAGTTAAAAGTTTCTTTTCATCTTCAGTTTGAAGGGTGCAAGTGCAATGGATGGAAGAATCCAAACCCTCCATCCCAAACACCTGCATCTGATCCGAACCAACCGACATCAAATCTCACTGATCCCTGCAAGAGCTGTCGCCACAACTTAGGTCTGTTTTTTTAATCTCCCACTTGAATAATTAATCATAATATTGTTCCAGCAAATGTACAGTTTTCACCATACATTCAAGCCATGCTGAAAGAGTTTGTTCTCTCTAAATATGGAAATTTGGTTACATGATCCTTGCCCGGGGTCAATAGTCAATCCCATTATTTGTTTAATTTTTTTCTGTGATGGGAGGTTTCCATTTCCTTACTTCCTCTTTATAATTTTTTATACAGTCAAGTAGTTTTTTGTTCATGTTGATTGGTAGTGCAGTGTCCGTTTTTGTGTGTTCCTGTGGTATGTGTTATTTAGTTTTGTGTGAAAAAAGTCTGATTTCCTTCTGTTTGCTTTATAGTTTTAGTAATTCTTTCCTTTAAACACTTCCTTAACCAAAGATTTATTATGATATTTCCTTTGATTATGTCGTGTCGAAAAATATCCTAATTTGAAATTCTGTCAGCAATGATGAAAGCACAAAGCTGTAGCATTCAGAGTAAGTAATTGCTGGGAATTTTTTTTTCAGGAGCTCACGTATCCCACTTGGAGTCAGCTGATGAAGAAGAACTGAACAGACTTTTGCGCATCGTTGTCGATGTCGAAAATTTGTTTGTCTGTGTCACAAGAGAAGAGGATGCAGAAGCGAAGCAAGTTTACTTCTATTTATTCAAGGTTTGTTCGTAGAATCTGTGTTCCCCCTTTTAGTTTTGGGTTAATAGATAACGTAAGTTCATTCATGTGATTTATCATTCCTTGTTCTTTTTTATTTAAAGTACAGGTACAGATAATGTGCTATAATATTACTTGCCTATATGACATCCTACACCTCACATTTGAGATAAAGAAGACTTCTCATATCAATTTAAAGGGAGTCCAGATTAATTCTTTATAATCAATCATTGGGATGGATATGATGAAAACTTGAGTGTCCTTGAGAACATTGGTTGTTGTTGGGTTCGATATAGTATTAGAAACAATGTCATAATAATTGATAAGTTTCATTTTTTTCTTTTGTACTTGTCCTTTTCAATTTGAGCCAAAAAATAACCATTGTAAAATCTTTTATGCATGTTGCCAATATCAAATTGTACTGGAAAGTTGAGTAAAATTGTGTTGTTTGCCTCTGCTTTTGATTTTTTAAAAACTATCATTAGTTTTGGCTTTAAAGTACAAAAACGTAAATATTTGATAAGTGTGAATAGGAAATCCTTAGACTTTTGCTCTATGCAAATTTTACTTACAGAATATTATTATTACTGCTGCATATGTCGGTTGGTGTATGCATTTTTTGTCACTTTGGTTGGAAATTTTTAACCACAAATCACTTTCTTTTCCCAGTTGTTGAGAAAGTGCATACTTCACATGAGTAAGCCTGTCATAGAGGGCAGTGTTGGTACTCCGCCTTTTGAGAAGCCAAGCATTGCAAAGGTACTTATTTCTTTTCACTTTTACCTGATAAAGCTGTTTTGGCTTTTGCTGAACATGGAGGCTTGCATTTTTGCAAAAAAAGGTATACATGTATATGTACTGCAGTTTGCTTTGTGGTGAAGCCATCTATCATATTGACTGTTGCAAGCCATCTAAGTCCAGAAGTGCGACTTTTTGGAAAACAGCATGTGAGTGTCAATCCTGTCAAAAAAAAATAATCATGTGCACATTTATGTCAACATCGTATTTCATAATTTTTGCTCTGTAAACTTGCACTATATAAAGACGTGAAGCAAGTAGGTTTCCGAGTGATTATGTCAGTGAAGAAATAAACTTGACCTTATTTGGGACTTGCACAGTTTGTGACTCTTAACATCGAAATGGGTGTGGGAAATGAAGTATTTGGCAATTAAAAGAAATGTGTTTGTAGTAGTGGAATATCTTCGCTGTAGCTGGAAGAGAAAAATATGGCTGTTTGATTACAATTTTCAGAAAGTTAATTATAGAGTCAGTCTTTAAAATATTATCGTGATGTTTCTGAGCCAGATGCAAGTCTTTTTTTTGGGGGGGGGGGGGTGGTGTCTTTTTTTTTCAGCATGAGGGGTGAAATTGAATTAAATACTTGATTTACAGCAGTGACTCTTTGAATTTATTTAATCTATTTTTTTGTTTTCAGGGAGTCACAAATTTTGTGGTGTATAAATTTGGCGCGTTGGCTCAGAAAGAATGGCAGACCATGTACGACCTGGCCAAGATGTTCCTGCACTGCCTCAACCACTGGAAGTTGTGGCCCCCAGCCAGCAGGGGACAGCATCTGGGTGAGAAAGATGAAAACGACTACAAGTTGAACTACACAAGGTTTGTACTTTTGTAACAGATTGGCCTCACATTTTGGTGTTTGTATACACAACAAAAGTTGTTTTTTTTTTTTTTAGATTTAAAAAAGTTTTCCAGCGTTGTCTCTAAAATTTTGCTGCTGTCCTTAAGAATAATATGTCTGTATACCTGATGGATCAAAATGGTATATGCAAAATTAGGGGAACAGTCTTCTCATCTTACTGATCTTGACTCATTCCATTTCAAAACTTCTGTTGACATCTGTAATTTATATCAAAGTTGATGGTATTTGTAAAGATATTTATAAATGTATGTCTTCTAAAGTGCAGTGAAAACTAAGACGGCTACCCATTGTCAAGGAGAAAAGCAGCTGTCTAAGACGGATGACCTTCTTTTAAGATGGCACAAATATAAAAATATGCCAGGGAGGAAATTGGAAGTGGCTGTTTGTAATGGTGTAATGTCTTATAAAATACAGACTGTCATATGTAATCTATATCAAAGTCACCTGCTATTTGTATTGTAAATATATTTATAAATGTATGTCTTCTAAAGTAATTGTAACTCGGAAAGATTTGTTTTCATAGCAAATTTTAGCTTCAAGTTTTCCATATAATATGCTCACATTGTAATATTTGCCACTCTCTCTTTTCATAGTAGGGTAGAATGGTTTTATTACTGATTCTGCTTGTTCAAAGTTCATGCCATCATATAAGCACAAGTGAAAATGGGCAAGTCTGTGTACTTTACAAAGGTTGAGCCTCTTGATTTTGGCCTGCTTTCAACTGCATATTATATCAATATGTCGAGGCAGAAGGGGGTTTCAGTTACAATACCTGTTGTCTGACAAGTTAGTCGTTAGGATGTTATACTTTAATTATTCAGCAACAGCATGTTTCCCCGAAGTAGGTCACATTCTTTATCACATAAAATTACATCTTTTGTTGTAATATTATGCTTTGTTTTGCCTGTTCTTGCTTTCGGTTTGATTCGTCTCTATACATTTTTGTTTGTCCTCTCTCTTCCCAAACAGATGGTTGTGTTTCTGCCATGTACCGGCGTTCTGTGACAGCTTGCCCCGCTATGAGACAACGCTCATCTTTGGGCGTACTTTGTTACGGTCCGTCTTTCAGACCATGAGGAGACAGCTGCTGGAGAAGTTTCGTGCAGAAAAAGACAAAATGCCGCCGGACAAGAGGTCTTTGGTCCTGACACATTTCCCAAGGTGATTTCTAGTCTTCTGGTTTCTCCACAGTTGCTCGCCTGTTACATAAAATGAACCTTAAGGGTGGGCAAGGGGTGTACTTAAGTGTTTTTCTAATTTGTTTTATCTTTTGCCTTTTCTTTTCATTGAAAAATTGTGACATCAGCCCTTTATAATCAGGGATAAAAGTTTTCTAGCTAAAGCTGTTGGCTCTCGACTGTTTTTCAAGAAATGTCAACACTGAAACCAAACAAAAGGAGGGTTTATATGTTATGCTGAACTATTTTTGAAAAAGCTAACAGTTGTAAATGCTCTGATAGTAATGTCCCCAAAACTTACCCTGTCTGTTCAACTTTAATTCTTATATTCATGTGAAACGTAGAATTACACCATTTTTCTGTTAGCAATTGTTATGCTGACCGGTCCAATAACGTACTTTAATGGGGAAGGAGCAGTTCTTGGCCAATTTTCTCATGTTCAATGCAATTTGGCTTTGAATGCATGCATGCTGTACAGTATAGCGTAACAGGAATGAAAGTCATAGGTTACCATTATCTCGTGTGAACAAGGCAGTGACAATACTCGTACACTGGCAGTCCTACTTGTTTACATGTGCCTCTGCTTTCTATTGACACACCTTGGCTGTGTTACGCTGGTGTATGTATGTATGGCCTTAATTGTGTCTTGGCAGATGATCTTAAAGCAGTGTGCATGATACATCTCTTCATAGGCAGTAGACATAGAGGAAGCAGATTGCCAAAGTTTTGCTTCCTTCCGTTCAGATCTTGATTGCCTTGATATGCTTCAAAGTAGAGAAGTGGTCAGTAGGTTTGGAATTGAGGAAGGTTTGAGGGGTGACTTACTATTTTACAGATGTAGTAGGAACATTTTTTTATAGGGCATTAAAAAAATTTGCTTGGGTGTGCTGCACTATTGGAACAATCGTATACCATGAAAGTATTGATATATTCTCTCCTTCTTTGTTGAAGATTTCTCACAATGCTGGAACAAGAGGTGTACGGAAACAATTCTCCCATCTGGAACCCAGAGTTTTCTCAGCAGACCAACAATCTTCCATCTCCGTCCCCTGCAGGTACATTTGTTTGTATTAGAAGTAGCTGCAGAAAAAATGTAACTTCTTACCTTAGCGTGCTGTTTGTGTCGTAATAATGCCCTTTGATTAGAAATATGACGAACCTGAGAAATAACCCCAAGTTACCCACCAACCATGCCAGCATGAACTGGGCATTGGACTTGATACTTTTGCTTGTAGGAAGAGTTTTTCTCCTTTTCCTCCTCCTCTTCTTCTCCTCATTCTCCTTCAGCTCCTCCTCATCGTCCTCTCTTTCCATGGGCTCAGTTGGTATCATGCTTAGTAATGGTGCAGATGAGTATGGTTCAAATTCCTGAAGAGGGTTGTTTGTGAAGTTTTGAAGGCTCCTCTTCTACTTTATCGTAACTGTTATGTCGTATGCTGTTGGCCCTATGGCACAAGTCTGTGACTTTAGGGTCTTCAGTAGTCCCCTTTAGCATCCCATCAAGTTACAGTAGCTTACTGTGGAAGGCTAATGTAGACTGGTTTGTCTCTTGGCTAGTGAGCCCAGGTGGTGTGGCAGGGGTCAGTGGCCTCAACCGCTTCACTTCGTCCACTGTCGGAGGGGAGGCTTGCTCAGGATTCAACATCAGCCCCGGCCTCTTGACCAATGGACGCAGATCGTCTCGCTCCCAGGATGCTGCGGGTAACTTTCAATCTTTCGTTTCCCCTTTTTGTTTTATATCGCAGTCTTCTTTTTTATGTACCATATCTTGTGTTGATGACAAATTTTCTTCATTTGGGTTTAGAATATTACCACGGCTGATCCTTTTCGTAAGTTTTCATTTCTTTGCTGTTCCTCTGTGTAATAATTACTACAATATTTGCTCTTGTATGTGTGTTTATTTTTAAGTTTCCTTAAGTTTTAGACTTTTACTTTGTCTTTGCTTTTCAGCTGTCTCGATTTCTCCCTTGAACTGAAAGTAAAATTTACCTCAGATTTTCTTATATGTCTTATGCATGAAGAAATACCTTGTTCATAAAGGAATTGTCAATTTTTTCAAATTCATATACACACACTCCTGTGCTTGTGGTGCTTTAGAAAAGCTCTATATTTTGACAGGTTGTATATGTCTCTTCAGAATAAAATTTTCAAAATTAATTCAAATACAGAAAAACGCAAAGCTGACGAAGCCGGCCTTAGTGATGGTGCCAAGAGACCGAAGATCGAGGGAGATATTTCCAAGGAAGTCCTGGAGGAAGTCTTGGCTGAGATCAATTCAGAGGGAGACGGGGTTATTGTTGGACCAGAGGTGTGTTTTGCCTTTCTGTTTTCTCTTTTATACTGTTGCTTTTCTTCTTAGCACTTTTCATTTCAGCGAATGTCTTTTGTGGGTGGTTGGAGGGTGCCACTGTTAACTTCTACCAAAGATCATACATAACAAGATAGTTAACTCAGCTAAAAAAAAAAGTGTCTGCGGAAGTCCGCGCATTGGTTCAGATGACGCTGCAGTCTTTGTTTTGAAGCTCTCTTTAATTTTTCCAGAAGAAGAATAGGAATAGCACCGTTTGTTAGTTTCGATTTTATTGTTTTTTACACAAATAAGGTAACTCTGTTTGCAACGTCCGCACTTTTTCAAAGAGGGCGCAAACGGATTTTGAGGACACTTTTTTAATTGGCTCAAAGAGGAGAAGTGGACTATGTTGTTATGTAAGATCTTTGCTTCTACTTCTTTTGTTTCTGTCTGTTTGTCTTGCCTTTTCTCTCCAGTAAATGGTTATCTTGTAGGTGTGCTCTTCTCTTCATTCAAACAAAGAATACCTTTATTAATGTATTGTTAACTAAAAGTTGCTCTCTTTTCAATATCGTAGACTGCAGTAGTAATAGTTATATATATTTTTAATGATCAACACAAAATGTCTCTTAGATTTTGTAAAATTGTTTCTATTACTGAAATTTTGTATTTGTTTTGACCGGAAAAAAACTTTTACGCTCCTGAATCGTGTTCACAGAGTTTTTTGTTTTAAAAAAAAATCTTTTGTAGATATTGCACCCATCTCATGCTGCCCGGGATGAACAGGCCAGGCAGGAGGAGAAGGATGGCAAGATCGACTTCCACATCGTCAACAACTCGCTCAGCCATCGCCCCACCCGCCAAGTGTTCCTGTGGCTGATAGAAGTGCAGAATCTCTTTTCTCATCAACTGCCACGCATGCCTAAGGAGTACATCACAAGACTGGTCTTTGATCCGTAAGTCGGCCGGTTTTTATTTTTGTTTTGTGAGCGATGATGTTATTTTATTTCTAACAGTAACAGGCATGTGTGTTCTACTTTCTTGGTGGGATGTTGGTTTGGTTTTTTTTTTCTATACTCTTATTGTTGTGACATTTTAACTTCATTGCACGAGTACACTGGCTGGTTGCTCAACTAATGTGTGGTATTGTAGAACTTATTAGGGGAAAAAGCCACAAGATGGTCTTTGTGGCTTCTGTACTCCATTTTTATGCCAATAAAAAGAAACTGTACCATGAACAATAGATTATCTTGAATTTACTCAACTAGAAGATTTGCTTTTCCACATGTGTCTATGCTTTTGCTCCCAGGAAGCACAAGTGTCTTGTCTTGATCAAGAACAATCATGTGATTGGTGGCGTCTGCTTTCGGATGTTCCCGACCCAGTGTTTCACCGAGATTGTGTTCTGTGCTGTGACCTCCAGTGAACAAGTTAAGGTAGGTGCCTCAAAACTGTTTGTAGAAAAATAAGGTCTCTACTTTTATGTTAAATTCACCATGAAAATGAATAAGGGGAGGACCAAGCTACCACTTGAAGGAGCTCAGTGAAGCAAATTGCTCATGTTCACATTAGTCGAGCTCATTTCATCGGCCATACCTATAGGTTCTGATAATGTACCACATGTTCAGATGTAGGAAAACATAAGTGGGTGGATGGAGGGTACCACCGGTAAGTCCTTCTTTGCTCTCTCTCTGCTTCTGTCTTGCCTTTGTTCTAGTACGACACTAACTGAAAGTTATTGTGTGTGTGTCGCTCTACTTCTTTTTCCCTTAAACAAACGAAGACTGGGAAAAAAAAAGTGCTCATGTACTGGTAAATTAATACTTATTGCTGCTGTTATTTTTGTGTTTTTCAGGGTTATGGCACAACTCTGATGAATCATCTGAAGGACTACCACCTGCTCCACAACATCACTCATTTCCTCACATTTGCCGATGAATTTGCCACAGGTTACTTCAAAAAGCAGGTACGTTTATTTTATAGAGCACATAGATTTTGGGGTCCAGTGCAACATATATTTTACTGTAGTTACAACAAGAAAATATTGATTGTAAAAGTTTTGAAGAGGTATGGCATGGGTTGTTAAGTAATTGGCTCAGGTGGACGGTTGCAAATACAACTGTTGGTGTTTTCACCTCCGGCTCAACGCATGGTAAAGATGCCCACCTCTATTGACCTGCGGAATTAGAAAGAGGCGATAAGATTTGTGTTTGTGTAAAGTCACGGTTTTGATCCCATAAAAACTAATGAATGATCTGAATAAAGGATATTTTAATGATGGCAATACATGCCATGGTTTATCAAAGATATTGTTTATATTGTCTTCTCTCGCCCGTGATTATTTTTTTGCCAGACATGTTGAAACTCATTAATCTTCATTCGAGATAATGGTTACCTGAATATCAAATTCATTTCTAATGGTTGTTACTTAGACCTGCATGTTTGCCGACAATCGTCTGAAATCCGACAATCGCGACCCGACCCGCGAACCGGCCGATGCTATCGCTAGGCCCGCCTGTATCAGTCAATGTGCGTAGTGCGAGGCTTGGCCGACTGCCAGCGACCCATTTTTCTCCCGTCGGCTTCGTCGGCACTTTCGTTTTCGTGCCGACGCGCGCACCGCCGACTGCCGACGTCGCCTATTTAGATTATTGTCGGAACCTAAGTAGAAATGGGAATACGAAAAAGGACGACAACTTAAATTATCTACTTTCAGTTTTTGAATTTCGTTTGTTGACTAATTCAATTGTTCAGATCGTGTGGATTCATTCAAGTCCGACTCTCTTGTGTTCTAATAGAATCTAGATCTAGATTTATATAGATCATTATAGACCTCAATGGAGGATTCATATTCCAATTCTATGGAGGATTCATATTCCAATTCTATTGTGTCAAAACTTAACATAGGTTGTGCTGAAATATTAATATTGGTAAAAATAAGCATTTATTTAAATCTAGATCTAGATCTAGACTCTAGATATATAGAATCTAGACTCAGCTGAGTCCCTCTGTTCGGAATCGGATGCGGATTTCTAGATCTAGTTCTAGGCCTATTCATATTCACTTGTTCTACAAGATCTAGATCTAGATTCTGGATTTATTTAGATTACTAGAATCTAAATCTAGATGGAGGATTCATATTCCAATTCTATTGTGTTATTGTATCAAACCCTATAGCAATGTAGATGTAAAAAAAAAAAAAAAAAATTTTCATTTAGGAATTGTTTTGGCCTTTTTACATGAGGCCCATTGCAGGTTCTTTTTGGGGTTGGGGTTAGGGTTAGGTCTCTTTTTTATTGTGTTTGTTGGGGTGGTCGCTCGTCACTCAGATGTCCTTCCTTATGACACCCACAAAGGCTTGGGGGGGGTGGGGGGGGGTTGCGCAAAATTTTCAGACAATCTGGTTGAGGCTCACATGCAGGTCTAGTTACTCTTGTACTTATCTCATGTAATTAGATAATTATTTTTTTGTTTTCAGGGGTTCTCAAAGGACATCAAACTCCCTCGGTCGCAATATCTGGGATACATAAAGGATTATGAAGGAGCAACATTGATGGGATGTGATCTCTGTCCAAGAATCAACTACACAGACTTTTCAAGGGTTATACGCAAACAGAAAGAAGTATGACCCTCTTCATTAGTCCTTTTTGTTATATTTTATTACGCTATTATTGTTATCGTCTTTCATTTTTTGTTGGAAAAACTTGTTTCACCCTCATGAACTGTCCAAAATTATGTTTATTTGAAATAATTTATTTCAATTATTGTTGTTATGGCAAACAGACGTGATTATTGCTTTCTCATTTTTTTGAAAGTTCTATTTCGAATGATGGGTAAGCACCTTTAGACTGCTATTTTTATAATATCCTATGAAGGTCAATATTTGAATATAGATTGTGCTTGGATAAAAAGAAACCCGTGTGTTGTGAATTAATGTCGAGAACAGACTGTAACAGTTTCTTCAAGTGTTTTGTTTATTATTTGTATTTCTGTAGATCGTGAAAAAGATTGCTGCTCGGAAGGCAATAGAAACAGAGAAGGTGTACAGTGGAGTGGGCCTGTTCAAAGAGGGGATCAAGCTGCCCCTGCCGGTGGAGTACATACCAGGGCTGGCCGAGTCGGGCTGGAAACCTGCTGCCAAGTATGTGTTGTGTCCATGGTATTAGAATGCTGTATTCGTCGAACTGTTTTAAAGAAGAGGCTTCTGATTTAGATGATGGTGAAAAGATACCAATAGTACTTTTATTTTTTTATGACGGTGAAAAGATACCATAGTGCTTTTATTTTTATACTATTTATAGTGCTTTCCCTCTGTTCTTTATGTATAGTGCTTGCCATCTATCCTTGTCTACCCTTTTGGTCATCAGACATGGAAGAAGTTTTATTATTGTAGCTTTTTCCTGACTCCTGATTTGTATTGAAGACGGATCAATGAAAGCAGTGATTTCCAAGCAAAATAGGAGAAGGTTAGTGTTCATAGAAGTCTGCACTTCAATGATTGCGTGCCTCTAATTTGTGCCAGCATCCTGCCCATGTTCATTATTATCCAAGAGAGGGTCGTTGAATTGTTGTTTTGATTTTAGCATCAAAAACGTCTTTTGAAGAGGTTTTAAACCTTACCCTAGAAATTGAATAACTTGCCTTGGTTTGATACATTTGGTTTTAATGAATTATGGCTGTGTTCATGGCCTGTGGTTCACCATATGATGTAATTTTTCTGTAGATATTATATTGTTCAATACTGACATTGACAGGAAAGAAAAGGAGCAGTCTCTGGAACCAGATCAGCTGTACAACATAGTGAGGACCATTCTTCAGCAAGTCAAGGTCAGTTGTGCAGGCAACACGCTTGTTGGTGTCTTGGGGCGTCCTTGAAGTACCACAAGTTGTGAAAGTGTTTAATCTCTGCTTGGTGTACCTAGTGGTATCCTTTCTTTTAGGATGGTATACTGTTGAACTTGCTGTAACGGCCACCAGTTTAACTCTTTATCTCCGGTGAGCCACTGACAGCGGCTGGGTCACATTTCTTTATGACTGCTTTGACATCAATTTACTTTTTGGCAATTGCTGAAAACAGGTCTTTTTTATCGGGATTTCACTCTGTAGATGAAGATCTATCAAAATAGGTTTATTTGTTTTTTAATTTAATCACCAATTTAGTGATGTTTTCGTCATTTTTAGGTTTAGTACCAAAAAAGGACCCCGGCGTAGTGCCCCCCCCCCTGGAGATAAAAAGTTAAGATAATCATCCGTACAAACAGTCACTTCCCATTTCCTCCCTTCTGTCTTTTTTTAAAAAACATTATAATGACACTGTGTTTAAAGGCCACTTTTCTCCTTGGCAAAGGGTAGTCGTCCAAGACAGGCTCAGCTCTATATCCCTATGGCACCTGTAAAATAGTATGGCACACTTTTGCACCTTCCTTGATTCAAAATGTATATCCCTATGGCGTCTGTAAAATAGTATGGCAAACTTTTACACCTTTTTTTATTCCAAATGTAACGCCATGTCTCTCCTTTGTAAGTGGAGATCTGAAGGGAGGGGTAGTAGTGGCCTACTTGGGCAATCTACTTCCTCTATGTCTCTTGCACAGACAGAACTGTGTCATGCATACTGCTTTAATATCCTCTTGTCAAGACACAAATGGGTGTAGATGGTCCATTCTAGAAATATTGCTTGATCAAGCTTCTAGAGGGTGGGGGGGGGGAGAGTAAAAATGGAATAACAATGTTTAGCAGATTTTGGAGAACTTCGTGAAGAATTTACGTAATTTTTAAAAACATTAAATGTTACAAAAAAAAGTATTACTTTTTTAAGTTTTTGGTTCAGGTGATATCTAGGAATCTTTTTATTCTTTTATGTTCTCAGCTCAGCAGCTGAGTGGTTCTTAGTGTAGGTTGTGCAGTCCTACTCTATTTCTCTTTCACTTGAGAGGTATTAAGTTTGATCTTTTGGTTCTGGTTCGTCTCTTTCGTCCTAGCTTTGCTCAATCGCAACCCGAGTATATTCGTCACACCTGTCTGTGGACAGTGTTATGCTGTTTATGTTGACGGAATAAATCTTGAGGTTATTGTGGTATTTCTTTTGACTGTGGATACATACATGTTGTGGATTTTGATTGGTGATTATTATTTTTGTGATGGATATTCTAAATGTATGAGAGCACATACCTGGATTGTGTCGCTAGAAAGTCCTTCTTCTTAACTCTCCATCTTTTATATCTGTCTGTTTTGCTTTTTCTAAATATTAAATGACCTTTGTCAAGTCCGTTTGCTTCTCTTTACTCAAACTCAATCTGTATTTATGTGAGTGGTGTTCTTTTCTGTACCTTTCAGAGCCACGCGAGTTCCTGGCCATTCTTAAAACCTGTGGACAAGTCTGAAGCTCCAGATTACTACGACCACATCAAATTCCCAATGGGTAAATATATTACTAGTCCTTTTGCTGCTCAGTTTTACTAGCTGTTGTCTCAAGATTTACTGGGAGGGTTTTTTTTGGTCAGATGTCTGTTCAGTAGCTAAGGTGGAAGGACATTTTTTTTTCAGGTAGGAGAGGATTGACAACTGAAGTTATGATGTTCTTGTGATATAGTTCGAATTATTTTATCTCATTCTAATATCTTAGCCAGGCTCGATCTCTGCTGCAAAATGCTAGAACATTTTAAAGTGCCACCTTTGATTTAATGGAATATAGGGTCCGGTATGAGAATTGGTATGTGTTGATAAAAAATTACATGGTCTGATAATATCCTGTATTGCTCTGTTTCAAAGTCATTGTTTAGGCTTGAAATATCTAGGGAATAATTACATTATTTTGAAAACTCAGAATCAAGTTCATTGTGAAGACTTATTAACTCACTTGAGCCTATTCCCGTGTATTTATGGGGCGCGCCGTCGGCCTGGTGGCCAAATCTCGTGTATTTACAGGATGCGCATTAGCAGTCGATATCTCGGGTGTTTTTCGGTTACAAGCCTCGGGGTCCACAAACAAACCTGTAGGCTTATTACATAATAAATCGTGATATTGTGGTGTTTTCTTCTCTTTAGCATATTCTGGTAATTTTTGTCTTTGTGGCATATTGTGATTTTTTTTCTCTGTAGTGTATTGTTCTATTTTTCTCTCTAGCATATTGTGATATTTTCTCTCTGCAGCTTATTGAGGTATTGTTCTTCTCTCCTCCTCAGACCTGCGCACAATGACAGAGCGGTTGAAAGCCCGCTATTACGTCCACAAGCATCTCTTCATCGCGGACATGAACCGTATCATCACAAACTGCCGCTCTTACAATGAGCCTGACACAGAGTACTACAAATGTGCAAATACCATCGAGAAATATTACATCACCAAGATGAGGGAAGCTGGGCTCATGGAAAAACTGAATTAAAACTTCATCAGTAAGAAGTTTTACTGCGCAAGTCCACCATCTTCCTTCTTTCCTGTATAGTAATGTACATTACAAGCAGATTTTTGTTGTTGTTAAGGTTGAATGTAATTTAATACAGTGTGTGAAATGAGATGCTCAGATGTTGTTTTGATAATGTTTCAGGTAGACTGCCCTATAGATAATTTAATAAACCATTTTACCCCTTGGAAGCTGTCCTGACACATGCCCTGAATCTTTAGAACAAGGGAAATAATTCCCTAAAAACGCCATACATTTGATAGGCAGTTTAGTGAAAATTTCAAAGTTCTCTATGATGCTTTCATTTGGAAGCTCTTGCCTTCATGATCATAAAACAGTTTAAATTGTGTTGATATCTTTATTAGTTAAAAAGTTATGACGATTTTTTCATGTTAAATTTTCGGCCAATTTGGGGTCACTTTTACATTAGAGTTTTTGTGAGAAGAAAATGCAATTAAAAAAAAAAAAAAACGACCATAACTCTGCAACCCAGGTCCATTATTTCAAGTGTAATTCATCAATTTGTAGGAAATTTTACATATAATCCGTCCAACTACAAAACAACGGTGTGCAACACCAAGGAAAAATTTGTTGGGTGGTTATAGGTATTGGGTGGATAAAAATCACAAGAAATGATGATCCGAATATGACAAAATCTGCTATATCTTCACTTCTAATGGTCACATCAAGACATCATATATCATTCTCTTTGTTTTTTTCAGAGGTCATAATAAAACAATAACATAGCAACAATTTGAATATTCTCAGGGATTAATAACACTGAAATATATTTCTGAAATGAATTTTTATCGAAAATTGAAAAATTTCGTTAAAATGTCGATTCTGGTTGAAAACACAACTTTGAATTTTAGTTACTGCTTTAACATGACATTACAAACACAATCTTATTCACTACAGAAATAGGGCTTGCATACCATCAGATGCAGAGTTCCATTCATGTATGAGGCGAGTTTTAAACGAGTATCTCGGACTTTCTGCTAAGACTAAGACACTGTATCCCTTTCAGCACAAGTTGACCATGGTCAAAGCCTGCCTTCTAAATGATGTAAACTGTGCCAATAGGGGAGTAAAGACACCTACATTCTCAAAAAGAAAATATCAGTGGCATAGAAAAATCATTTTAAAAATTACATTTCAAGCGAGTCTTACAACCATTGCATGCAAAACACAATTTTGGAAGTGAATCAATTCAGCAAAAAAAGTATGGCTCAACAAACTCAAAGAAATGCAACAGCACCCAATACAGCGTCAGCAAACAGAGAAAGAATGGACAGTGTGTGGTCAACAGAACTTGATTCAGAGTCTTCTAGACCCTAGTACCCAACAACGATTTCGTTTATTGTGCTGAACACTGTGAATTCTACCATAATGCTCTGTAGACAGGTCTATAGTGTGAAGAAATGCAATACCAATAAGACTTTCTGGTTCTTGTACTTGTATGTACTGACTTAATCTCTCTTTCACAGAATCACTACACTCTAGCTCTAATACAGATTTTGCCTTTAACACTTTTCCACCACATGCCTATGTAGTAAAAAAAAACCTTGTTCCACACACCATTTGAGCTAATCTGAAGGTGAAAGTAGAGGGTTCAGAGAAATGGGCACTGCTCTCTTGTAAATGCATGGATCATTACCAAACTTGGAGGACAGTTGTATGAGTGAATGAGGTTTTTGCTCATGTGAAAAAAAAACGAATCGCATGATCATGGCAGACAATTTGCATAAATTATGCAGTTTTTACATGAGATATAAAACCTGCCACTAATTTCCCCTTCCTAAAGCAAATGCCCCAGAAGGATAATATGTGCAAAGTCAATTTTGTTTGTGTGTGTGTGTGTGTGTGTGCGCGCGCGCGTGTCTATGAATATGTAGGTCTTTTGAGAAACATGATAAAAAAAAATGTAACGATAGCTTACAAAAGTAGCAAGAAATAAATGGAATTGTAAGCCTACTCACTGTGCAAATATATAATCCAATTTTTCTTGCTCTAATATGGAGTTTTGTAGAAATTAGTCCGTGAGCTGTTTGACGTCAACAGCGGTGTGCCAGATGTGGAAACAGTCACGGTCAACACACAAAGCAGTGTTGCACTGGAGGCAGTAGAAGCGTGTCTGGGCCCTTTTCTTGATGGTTGCACAGACCTTACATACTGGGCGATGTTTCGGTTCCAAGTATTTGGCAGGGCAGTGCCCGAACTGTGCAGCAGAGAGCCTGTCAACAGTTGGGTTCGGCTGCGGGTGGCATTTTGATTTGTGCAAAGCCATGTGGGGCTTGATAAGCGCATCCACTGCAGCAGACCTGAAGTCCTTGATGTTGTCCTTGCCACCGCTGTGTTTGTATATAATCTAGGCATTCACAAGGCAGGCATCTTTTACATAGTGGTAAAGTACGAGATACCATTTGTAGCTGCGGTGGGGATATGAGTAGTTTTTGTGCAGCTGATCGAAATGATCGACGCCGCCCATGAACGTATTGTACGTCTCACTCAGCAATTACTGGCTTTTCGACGCATCGAAACCCACTGGCATCCTTTGCAGAGCGCACCAACTTGTCCATAGTATTATTTGTGTGAACTGTGCTGAGAAGGTGCACACGTTTTGTATCGTGCCAATCCGTGGCAACCATGTCACCAGACCTAGAAAATACTGGCTCGTCGCCTTTTTTCAGGGGAAGGTTGGTGTGTTTTAGGGCATGAAGGAACCCCTTTCTGCTCTCCACAACAGTGCCCACTACTCCAGTTTGCTTTTCCCTCAGGTCTGCAAAGAGTACTGGAGATGTGTAAAAGTTATCACTAAACAATATGAGACTCTTCTCAGTGTACCCATCCATCAGGGTCTCCACATGTTGATGTGTGAATGGCTTACTCACTGGTACTGGAAAGTAGTCCTTCCCAGTGTACACAATAAATTTTAGACAATAAAACTACACAGTCGCACAAACTAAAACCCTTGAAACCGCGTTTTGTCGATTTGTCTGGCATATACTGTCGAAAGTGACATCTGCCTTTGAAGCGAGCCATGCTCTCGTCTACACTGAACTGCTGATGCGGATAATACACGGCACTGAAGGAGGGGATGATGAGGTCTAGGAATTCCTGGACTTTTTGCAAAGGCTGGTAGCCATCCTGTCTACGAGGAATATGCTGTGTGATATCACTGAAGAAAAAGAAAGGAAATTAACAAATCAACAACAACCAACCAATTTGTCAAATTTGTGGTGGGATGCGAATTGTGAACCAGGTTTTTTTTTTCTTTTGATTGTTATGACTGCACTGAATTATGATTAAAATTTCAATACGTTCAGTATGATTAGTTTAGGCTAGATCTATATATAATGTAATGCTATGGAAAAATCAAGAAGCCTTACATGTTGGCTGCCTCTGTCAAGGCAGAAACGATATGCGTTACATAGTCACTCGTTTTTCCTCCCGGTAGATGCTGCATGTCTAGAACAAGGCAGTAGTTACGGTTCACTGTCCTGTGAACTTTGTTCCTGTGGCAGCCTTCCACTGTAGTTGCATCCCACGAAAGGCAGGTGTTCCCTTGTTGTGATACACATGTATTCCATTAACTGTATAGTTAATTCATTGGCCATGTGGCTGGACAGGGTGTGTCCAATTTTTCCCCACACCAAACTTGGGCAGAGACACTGATAAGATGGCCTCAGTGTTTCACTGGCACATCGCACACAAGTTGATGGTACACTAATCTCCGAATATCAGAACTGTAAGCCTTGCCATCCTTGGAATTTCTTATCCTGGAATTAGAATTTGCTTTCGGAGAAACATCTGCTATCTTCACCTCCAAAAAGTCACAGTAACGACGACACTTGCTGATCTCTCGCCTTGCTTTGGTAAACTGATCTTTCACAATAGAAAGTTGCTTTTTCAGTCCCGAGTTTTCTCACTGCACCTGTCTCAGGTCCTTGAACTGACCGTCATTTGTACAACGAAATCTACCGAGAGCATGTTGCAGCTGATGAAGTTTTATCTGTAGATTTTTAACCTGTTTCTTAAGGTCACGAATTTTTAAATCCTGTCTCGAAAACTTTTGCTTTTGTACTCTGAGATTAAGTTCTCTTTTTACATTTGCAGTAAAAGAGCTGAGCACATGTTGTTTGCTCTTCCCAGCTCGTTACATTTTTTCAATGAAACGTTTGCCTTTTTTAAAGCTGAGCAGTTAACCCCTTCACTGCTGACCTATATGCCCCGCCCTGTGCTGACCTTATTTCCAGGAATAGCGCTTCAAACTGGTGACCCTTTCAAAGTGCTATTTACTCTGTGGTAATGCATCAAATGCATAACAATGTAGATCTATATTATTTTAAAGGAAAATGAATGAGCTTTTCAGTCATGCCAAAGACAAAAACAATATGAAAGAAAAAAAAAGTTAAAAATGATGAAAGAGAAAAAACCAACACATTCACAGGTATTTACACTATGTACACTTATTTACACAAGGTGCCAGCAGATTACTGACGCCAGAAGAAACGCTCGGTGTGGTACTTTTTATAGCACCCTACCAAGCACAGGCCTGGTTTGCTTGGGCAGTCGGGACAATAATAGCGAGTGTTCCTTCGCGTGCCCTTCTGTGCACACACACGGCACTTCTTCTGTGGCCTTGCTTTCTTTTCTGTCGCTGGCAAAACCTCAACGAAGTGCCGACCGTAGAGTCTTACGCTGTGGTCATCCTCCACATATCTGTGGGATTGCCGTCACCGAAGATGAGGTCAGATGTTGCCAGCCTTCTGATATAGGATGAAGGCATTCAGAAGCCCAATTTGTATGAAGCAGATACAGAGCTTCTTGTACCATTTCAGACTCTTCCGTGTTGCATCATAAGGCTGCAACATCTGATCGTGGCGATCAACTGCACCCATTTTTAAAATTGTATTCCACAATCGCTGGAGGCTTCTCTCCGGTGCCCTGTGGTGGTGACAAGTCGTCAGCATGTAGACGTCTCGCTTGTCTACAAACTTTTGGGCCAGAAGTGGTTCGCTGACGCAGCTCTCTTGTTTTGCCTTTGGGGATTTGGAGCTGCCGAAGGCAAAGCGGCGCTCTGTTTGCTCTCAGAGTACCGCAACACGAGGTACCCTTTGAGTGAAGAAATGAAAATAGGATTTTATGCCGAATCTGGCAAGCTTGAGCGGAATGTACTGCTTGAACAGCAAGCGGCCTTTCCACAGTAGTAGGGACTCATCGATCGCTATGTCCTGACCAGGTTCAAATGCAGCCTGAAAACGTTGCAACAGGTGGTTCAGGACAGGCCGAAGCTTGAAGAGCCGGTCCCTGTAACAGGTGGTTCAGGACAGGCCGAGGCTTGAAGAGCCGGTCCCTGTAACAGGTGGTTCAGGACAGGCCGAAGCTTGAAGAGCCGGTCCCTCCGGGGAGCAACGGCAGCTGGCATATCTGTGTTGTTGTTCAAATGCCAGAACTTCATCAACAGAAGGAACCGGTCTCGTGGCATTGCTGCGCTGAATACTGGTGTAGTAAACAATTGATCCCTACACCAGTATGAATTGATGTCCGGTTTTTTTAGGAGGCCCATTAGCAGCAATATATGCCAATGAAGGTCCTCATTTCATCTACTCTCATGTCACTCCACTGTTTGACCCGAGAGTTTGGTTTCAGGGGAGTGGACGCAATGTATGCTGCAGCATACCTATTAGTTTCCACTACCAAGTGCTGCAACAGGTCTTCATCTAGGAAAAGACCGAAAAACTGAGAGGGGGTAAAACCCGCAACATCCACTTTGATGCCGGGTTGGCCAGTAAAAGGAGGGACTACTGGTTGAAAGGTTGAAACATCACGTTTCCAGTCCAGCGTCCTCGCAGTGGCCCTCTGTGCTGATCCTCTGCCTCTGCCTCCACCTCCACCTCTTCCCCTGCCTCCACCTCTGCCTCGACCTCCACCTCTGCCCCGACCTCCACCTCTGCCTCGACCTCCTCCTCTGCCTCGACCTCCACCTCTGCCTCGGACAACACCTCTGCCTCTACTTGTCGAGGGGATAGGAGCACTTTCCTCTGCTGAACTCTCTCGACTTTCTTAGAACGAAAGAAGGACAGAGCTTCTGTGAGAATTTTGCTTGAATCCAAGTGCTTTTGTTTACAATATACACAAACACAACACATGAACACATAGATCTAGTGAGTTTGGAATTAAGGTTTGCAAAAATTGAATGTAGATCTTCTAGTAATTCTGATTAATAAACAAAAAACACACTTCTAATCACATTACAAATAACTGCAGTAAACTATTTTAGAAATCATTGTATACAGCATGAATCAAACCCTTGCCATCATGTTGTATCTTTTGGCCTCCTTCATATCTATAGTGTCGAGGAAATAGGACTATCTGGGCTAGACAGACCAAAAGTCTTCGTCTTTCAATCATAGGGGCCCAGATCTATAGTAAAAACATTGTGCTCATCCTACACAGATTGCAATGATAAATATAGTTTAGATGTAGACCTAGATCTACATCAAGTAAATAGATCACGCCCGAATACTATGACTCTGAGTCTGGGGAGAGATCTTGATAAGATCGAGAATGATGAAAAATTTACCTTCGTCTGCTGGCTCATCATTCTCTTCTGCTTCGTCCAGGTCCAAAACATCAGCATCACTATCATCTGACGACTGGTAGTCTTCATTATCACTAGCAGCCTCAAAACCATCATCACCGCTATCATTATCGGTGAAAATTTCGTCGAGAACTTGACGCATTGTTAGCATATATATGTTGCGTGCGATCAGCCATGGCTGGGAGCTAGAGTGAAAGGCAGCAAGAGTGAAACGCTAGAACTGTGAAGAAGGACTGACGCTATAATTCCCGCTATTTCGGTTATTGTTTGTCTAATTAGGGCAAATAAAAGCTTCTCTAACTCGGGAAGAAAAGAGCTTTCAGGGGAGCCCACTCCCGATACTATATTGCAATTACCGGCTGAGAAGGTAATGAAACAAAACAGCGATGGGCGTACTGTACGCCCACAGCGCATAGGAGGGCCCGATTTATGGACGTACATCATATGCCGAGCAGCAGTGAAGCGGTTGAAAGGTTATCAGTAGTAATGGAACATTTGTTCACGGCACAAAATTCTACAATTTTTCTGTTATCACAGTGTAGAATTCTGTGGTTCAGGGTGAACGCAAAATTGGTTGGCCTAGATCTAGGCTATAACAGTGAACGCACACCGGGTGAGAATAGCCAAAAGACTCGCCTGCGCTATTTAGAGGTGGCCATTCTAGATCTAGACCTAGTTTTGTGACTAAGTTCTACAGTCCAGGCTATGACGTTTTGAAAGGGGGGAGATCTTGTTGTACAGTAGTCTCTGCCTAAGATCCCACCGCTTAAGATCTCGCTGTTTTAAGAAAACAGAATTTTTACTATACAAAAGTCACCCCTAAGATCCCGCTCTGATTCACTCTAAAGGTCTACCTTCGGCTAAGATCCTGCATTTCAGATCATAATTCGCGGAACAGAAATCTGGGCGGGCACAGCCGAATAACCAAGTCCAAGAGTGAAAAGTTGAGATCAATAAACTGTCCGTTGCGTCAAAGATCAGCCACTATCGTGAATGTGATCACTTACACGTAAAACTCGATAAGCGATACATTGTTAGCCCCAAACGGAATCGCACCGGGGTGTGAACTGACCGACACGTTTCTTTTTCCCAGGCATCGCACTCACACCTGAGCTCTCCCCCTAAACTTACATCACCCGCTGGGTGGGTAGAGCCTACATGTTCGCTCCAGGCAGGATCACATCGAACCGCGAACTCTTCCCTGACCATTGCAGCTGTTGTCTCTGTCTCTACTCAGGAATTTGCGAGACAGACTGAATTTTAATTGATGTGTTCACAACGTAATGGTGTGTAGCGACAAAGGCGGTTTTGGGGGGGGGGGGACTCGGTCAGAGATGGAAAGCTATAAATTTCCGAGGGGTGAAGGGGAGGGGTAACTGGAAAGGCGTAGATCTTGAGACTCATGATAGGATAATTAAGTGAAAATGGCACGCCTCATGCCACTTGCGCTGTGATAGGTTATCAAAGTTAACCTCTCTTTGCTCGCCATATGTCATATTCATATAAACCCACCAAGGGGTTGCATCAGTTCATTTTAGAGTGGAGGGAGACCATTTTACCAATTGTGAGCCTTAACATGGGTCACCGTAGATTCTTCCCTGGGTTCGTCGGTTAAGATCCCGGTTCGCCTAAGATCCCATTTTTCCTTGCTCCCGAGCCCTGGGATCTTAGGCAGAGGCTACTGTAGTAGATCTATAGTCTATAGTATAGAATAGATCTACCTCTGTCTTGGTAGGTAGATCTAGAACGATTAGCTAGATCTAGCAGCAAGCACACCTCTGTGATTGGCCCATATAGATCTAGATGACGTATTTCCGCCATCTATTTTTGTTGTCCTCCTGGGCTTCCCTCGCCAATTGACTAGACCTCACCGTGGTGGGCCGGCTTTGTCGCTTAGCCTAAGCTTTGCGATGGCTGATGGGCTACATTTATATATCACTAGGTACTAAGTTTCATCGCCGACTGCTTGGGCTGTGTGTGTGTGTCCTCACCCGTTTTGTGTGTGTGTGTACACCTTTGAGGAGAAGGTAAATCTATGGAACGAGAATTGCAGAGATTGTTTATATAATAACAAAAGATAACGGAGTGTCTAAGTACACAGTAACCGGGCACCTAGCCTCAGTGTCTTCATACGCGGTAACCGACGACCGAGCACATAGTGTCTATGTCACATACAATTAATACCAAGAAAATCAAACAAACACAGCGAGATCTAGATCTAGTCAACAGTTACTGGCGAGGAAAACCCAAGAGTCTTGGGAAACCCTAGTAGTAGTATAAGGTTTTACGGCGCTCGCAACTGCTAAGGTCATATGAGCGCGCGAAACACAAGTTGTTCACCTCTGCGAAAGTTCACTTCACGACTGGTAACTAATTTACTTTAAAATGCTAAAAAGTTAAAATATTCAAATTCGGTGTAAATACATTTGTGATCTAAAACAACTTTTAAG